CAAAGAGTAGATTAAAGAGCCTCCCCACTTGTGCTCATGGTGACCCGATGGCCCAGCGACAGCTTCTGCTCCTGCTACCTGGGAACAAGATGCAGAATGAGTCGTGGAGGCTCCATGCTTCCCAGGGGAGCCCAGTCCACCCTGATGAACTTTAGGAAATCATGAGACACATTGAGGCATATAGGACCTTAGTTTCCCGACCAGGAGTCGAACCTGCACCCCTGCAGTGGGAGTGAGGAGTCTTAGCCACTGGACCTCCAGGGAAGTCCCTCTAATGGTAGATTTAAAAAGAATATCGTTCCAGTGATGGAGTTGGCTGGGAGGCAACAGCAGTAATCTAGGACAGAGACCATCAAGATAAGAAGTAAGACAGAGATGGCAGGATGAGAGAAAAGGGACACACCAGGGAGATACTTAAGACATAAAACAGAAAGAGAGACTCAGATGTATAGAACAGACTTGTGGACTCTGGGAGAAGGCGAGGGTGGGATGTTTCAAAAGAACAGCATCGAAACATGTATATTATCTAGGGTGAAACAGATCACCAGCCCAGGTTGGGTGCATGAGACAAGTGCTCGGGCCTGGTGCACTGGGAAGACCCAGAGGGATCGGGTGGAGAGGGAGGTGGGAGGGGGGACCGGGATGGGGAATACATGTAAATCCATTGCTAATTCATTTTAATGTATGACAAAAACCACTGCAATGATGTAAAGTAATTAGCCTCCAACTAATAAAAATAAATGGGAAAAAAAATGAAAAAAAAAAAAAAAAAGACATGAACTGCCAGACACTGGCATCCAGGAGTTTCAGTGGCATCACCTGTTGCATGGACATGAGCTTGGACTGACTGTACCATAATCAGGGATGTCAATTGTCCACTTGAACATAGACTTCCTGATAACCCAAAGTCCTGATGTGTAGTGCTTGGTAATTTCAAGCTACAAAGGGCTTGACAATCAGCTGGCAAAATTCCTGATGTTTTTAATGTTTCTTGTGTGAGCCAGAACAAGAGAGCTCTGGCACATCACTGACTTGAATTCAGTGTCAAGCAATCCAGTTTTCAGTTCACTTAAATTTTATTCCTTTTATCCTTCCTTCTTTGAATCTATTGACTATCTGTTTTTTTGCCATTTCTTCTAAGAATGACTCTGAAAGCCATTCCTAGGATTTTATGGACCTGGAGAAGAGAAGACACTGGATGTACACTGGACATATATTCACTGGGCACTGGACAATGTACACGGGGTGTACACTGCACATTATACTGCACTGTGTACACTGGAAATACACTGAAGTATATAGCACTGTATGCTGGTGTACATTGGAGTGTACACTGGACATATGGTGGGCTGTACACTGGAATCCCAGGGGCAAAGGAGCCTGGTGGGCTGCCGTCTATGGGGTCGCACAGAGTTGGACACGACTGAAGTGACTTAGCAGCAGCAGCAGCTTACCTGTCTCCTGAGAATCCTGTATATGGGTCAGGAAGCAACAGTTAGAACAACTGATTGGTTCAAAATTGAGAAAGGTACTCCTCAGCAAGGCTGTTTATTGTCACCCTGTTTATTGAACTTATGGGAGCACATCATGGGAAATGCCAGGCTGGAAGAGTTACAATTTGGAATCAAGATTGCTGGGAGAAATATCCGCAACCTCAGATATGCCAGTTTAATGGCAAAAAACAAAAGGGAACGAGGAGCCCCTTGATGAGGCTGAAAGATGAGTGAAAACATTGGCTTTAAACTCAGTACTAAACAAAACAAAACAAAAACAAAAACCTAAGACCATGGCATCCAGCCCCATCACTTCATGGCAAATAGAAAGGGGCAAGGTGGAAGCAGTGACATATTTCCTCTTTTAGGCTCTAAAATCACTGTAGAAGTAACTACAGCCATGGAATTAAAAGACGCCTGCTCCTTGGAAGAAAAGTTATGACAAACCTAGACAGCATATTAAAAAGCAAAAAAAGGAAAAAAAAATCACATAGCCAAGGCCATGGTCTTTCCCGGAGACATGTACAGATGTGAGAGTTGGACCATAAGAAAGGCAGAGCACCAAAGAATTGGTGCTTTCGAACTCTGGTGCTGGAGAAGATTCTTGAGAGTCCCTTGGACTGCAAGGTGACCAAACCAGTCAATCCTAAAGGAAATCAGCCCTGAATATTCATTAGAATGATTTATGCTAAAGCTGAAGCTCCAATACTTTGGCCACCTGATGTGAAGAGCTGACTCATTGGAAAAGACCCTGATGCTTGGAAAGTTTGAAGGCAGAAAGATAACTGGTGATTGAGGATGAGATGGTTGGACGGCATCACCGATTCAATGGATGTCAATTTAGGCAAACTCTGGGAGATGGTGAAGGACAGGGAGGCCGGGTATGCTGCAGTCCGTGAAGTTGCAGAGAGTGACACAACTTGCAGTGACTGAACAACAACAATAACTCAAAACCAAAAGCCCCAAAAGTGAACTTGGTATAAATGTATGTTTTTATAGTCATAACTAATGTTTTTCAAGGAGAAAATTTGGGGATAAACATTTGTAAAGAAGTTATCATAATAGAGTTCAGGGAACATAACAAAACAAAACAAAACAAAACTCCTCCCAAGAAACAACAGTCAAGGATCAGAGGGCTTCATAGGTAAGTCCTGCCAAACAGTTAGAGGAGATTTAGCACCTATCCTTCTGAAGCTAACACCTATTTTTTCTGAAGTATTTCAAAATATTGCAGAGGAAGGAACACTTTCAAATACATTCTGTGAGGCCACCACCACTCTGATGCCAAAACCAAAGATGCCACAGAAAAGCACAGGTTAATATCACTGATGAATATAGATGTAAAAATCCTCAACAAAATACTAGCAAACTGAATCTAACAATATGTTAAAATTATTACACTTCATGATCAAGTGGGATCGCAAGTCTGCAAGGCTTTTTCAATTTATCCATAAATTGAAACTACAATGAGATCTGCAGGTCAAAACTACAATGAGATATCACCTCACACGGGTCAGAATGTCCATCATCAAAACAGCTACAAACAGTCAATGCTGGAGAAGATGTGGAGAAAAGGGAACCCTCCTGCACTCTTGGTGGGAATGAAAATTGGTTCAGACACTATACAGAACCATATTCCTTTAGAAACTAAAAATAGATCCAGCGTATGATACAGCAGTCCCACTCCTGAACATATATATCTGGAAGAAACCATGATTTGAACACATACACACACCCCATGTTCATTGCAGTGTTGTTTACCATAGCCAAGACATGGAAGCCACCTAAATGTCCATTGACAGAGCAATAGAAAAAGAAGATGTGGTCCATATGTACAATCGAATATTTCTCAGCCATTAAAAAGACTGAAATAATGCCATTTATAGCAACATGGATGTACCTGGAGATTATCATACTCACTTAAATGTCAGACAAAGACATATATCTATGATGTCACTTAAATGTGGAATCTAAAAAAAGTAATACAAACTGACTTATTTACCAAACAAAGTGTATAACCTAGGTCATGGTGCTCAATACTCTCTAACAACCTAAGTATGAAAGAGTTTGGAAAAGATGTGACTGAAATATGATTGAATCAATTTGATGTACACCTGAAACAAACACTTTGCTAATCAACTATTCTCCAACATAAAGTAAAATTTAAAAAAAACATTTTATTAGTAAAGTGAGAGACAGGATATTCTCTGAAGTCTGCTTTAGTATTTTGGCAAGTCATTTAGCATTCTTGAGCCCAGTTTCCTCATCTGTAAAATGGAGACCCTAAGAATATCTGATCCATTGACCCTTTAGCCAGGATTAAATTAATTAATGCATGGAATGGGTTTAACATAGTATCTAAGACATATTAAGTAGTCAATGAATGTTACCAATTAAAAAAAATTAAAATGTTTTATTTTTGGAAACTCTACTTGCCCTCTTTGTTTCATTTCTACTATTTCTGAGAACCAGAAAAACAAGTATGTGCTTGTGTGATCCTCTAAGAGATTAAATTGAATATGACAATGTTTTATTAAAGTATTTGTTAAAATTGTGTAAGTATTTTCAGAAATCACTCTGTTGTGGTGATTTAACCAAATATGTCTCATAACCTGGTTTTAGCAGCATTCCTATAAATTCCTCTCCCCCTGAAAATTTTGCTGTTGTTGTTCAGTCACTAAGTCATGTCCAACTCTTTGCAACCCCATGGACTGTAGCACGCCGAGCTCCTTTGTCCTCCACTATCTCTGGGACTTTGCACAAATTCATGTCTATTGAGTTGGTTATTAAACATATTTAATTCCCTCTTAAAATGTAAATAGTTTCTAGAATTAAACACAAAGCTGTAAACATGGGCTTACTAGGATAAAAACATAGGCTTATTTCCTGATTCAGTACTTCTCCCAATGCAACCTACAATACATTTAGTTTTTCAGTAGCTATATCTCATTTGATTCATATTGAATTTAATGTAAAAATTCTTAGTCATTTTCTAGATGATACCGCTAACTAGTATCATGTGCTATGCTCTGTTAAGTCACTTCAATCATGTCCGACTCTTTGCAACCCCATGGACTATAAGGCTCCTCTGTCCATGGAATTCTCCAGGCAAGAATACTGGAGTGTGTTGCCATTCTCTCTCCAGCAAATCTTCCCAACCTAGGGATCAAACCCTTGTCTCTTATGTCTCCTGCATAGGCAGGCAGGTTCTTTATCACTAGCATCATCTGGGAAGCCCAACTAGTAGTATCATAGATATAGATAATATCCATATCTACAAATAATATCAATATCTACAGAATTCACTGTGTATGCAGTTGAACTTTGCTTTGAGTGGAGGAGAATGAGCCTCAAATTATAGATAAAATGACTACTTCACATTAAAAACAAACAAACAAACAAAAAAACAGTCTTATGTTCACAGAAGGTACATGTCATATTCTGAAAGTTAAACACAAATATTTCATTAAGAGGCATGAAAATACCAAATTTGAGCAAACTTCCTACCTGTAAAACCCTGGGGGTGCATGCTGCACTAGGAAGCTCTTCTCCATGTCCTGGAGAATGTCATTCAACATCCGCACACGGATGGGAGCTCTTTCCTTGGGGTCATTAGCAGGACGCATCTCATCTGACTGAAAGAGTTCAGCACTCTCCCGCAGGCGTGAGGCCAGGGCTAGCAGTTGAGGGGTGTTGGCTTGAACACCTGGTAAAGATAAGTAGGCCAATCATAGATCAGAGCATCTCAAAGGCACAATATAAACATTTTATGATCATGATGTCAAAAGGAAGATTTGCCATCAATTCAACTTTTAAAATCTTTCCACCAAAAATATTCTAATACATTCTACTAAGAGTATTAAATTTATTACTACTGTGTGTTAGTCACTCAGTCATGTCTGCCTCTTTGGGAAACCCATGAACTGTAGCCCACCAGGCTTCTCTGCCCACAGGATTCTCCAGGCCAGAGTATTGGAGTGGGTTGCCATTTCCTTCTCCTGGGAATTTTTCCAACCTAGGGATCAAACCCAGGTCTCCTGCATTGTGAGCAGATTCTTTACCATCTGAGCCACCAAGGAAACCCACTGCTGATAATAATACCACCAGTAAATAGAAACTGATTGTTGAAAGAATGCAACCTTCTCGACACTGTCAAGCCATTTGACACAAGACACTTCACACAATTATCTCATTTAATATTCACCAAAGCTTGTATTGGCATGTTCATTCCATAGAAGCTGAGAGTTAAGGTAAGCAAACTGCCATAGATCATCAAGCAAGTAAGTGACGGGTAAGAATTAGAAGCCTGATCTTTCTGACTCAAAAATTCATGCTCTTAATGGAATATCCTGTGTTTCAAGGGGAAAAAAAAAATTGTAAAAGGAATTATCTTCTCTTCTGAGAACATGAAATATGTTACCCTATGTTGTTGTGTGTCTACTGGGGTCTTTTTACTTTACTAGAGCATTCCTGTAATTTGAAGCTGAAATACACCTTTGATCTGAAAATACACTAAAATCTATCCTATGTCATGTTTGTATTGTTTTCCTTTTGAGATGATTTTAGCTTGTTTGTTTTTCTATCTGTTTGTGTAACTTACTGGAAGTCATTCTGATATGAATCATGGTAGCAAAAGGATCAAAGGATATTCCTTTGACTAAGGGAAAGGCATATAGTAATTATGCTACCAAATCCTAGAATCAGACCACTTGAGTTCAAATCCCTGCTCTACCATATGGTATAATAGCTTTGTGATGCTGGGTTATTTTGCCTCAGTGTCCTCATGGGAAATGAACATATAGTAGTACTTGCTTTATAGATTTTTTTAATGAGAGTTAAATAATTAATACTTGTAAAGTACTCCCCAACAGGTAAGCAGTTCCTAGCTGGTGCTTAAACTTCTTTAAAAAGCATTCTCTTATCATGCCATGGGGGGCCTTCAATCATCTTCCAGATAGCCCCACCATTTGAGGCAGTCTTTGACACCATTGACTATTGCCTCACCGCTTCTCAGCCTAACTACAGCTGACTCCAACATGGTAAGCACGGCACTACAGAGGGTTACAAGTCAACTTACTGAAATGAACCTGGTAAATCTCAACTGACCATCTGGACAGCATGGCATTAAGATAAGTAGGTGGAAGACTGAAAGAGACCTCATGGAATCTTTGCCTGGGAAAGCCTCTGCAGAAGGAAAGGCCACAAAGGGACTCTTTCTCCAAGTGAAGTCTAAGGTAAGGATCACCAGCTTCCAAAGAACCTGGGTTTTGTGAAAATGCAGATTCCTAGACCTTCTGAATTTCTCTAGGGCCCAGGAATCACAATTTCAGCATGCCACTCAGACTATTCCTTATATCTTAATGTTTAAGAAGCACTGTAGAGAGGTTATGTGCTAAGAAAATGAAAAGTAGATTAGAATCATAACTGTAGTATGAAATATGTGTGTCACAGAATTATTAATACCAACCTTTAACATAGTGATCTTTATTTCCTCTCACCTTCATTTGATGTGAATAATTTTATATGTCAATTTCATTATAACCCAGCATAGTTCTGACACTCAGTAATTGTTTACTGACTAAATAAAGTAGACTCAATATTTTTAGAAAAACATCTAATAAAAAATATAATAAAAGATGACAACTATGTAAAGAAATAAGTGGTTTTTATGAAGGCTACAACGAAAGAGCTTTCTTTGTAGCTCTCTGTTCACTGAAATTAACAATATGAATAAAATCAGTTATAGGAGTTCACAGGGTTTTGGCATTTGATATTTTCAATGTGTGTTCCACATTAACTAGTAATCTTGCTTGATTTCAAAACAAAACTTGAGGATGCAAGCAGATATTTTTGCTCATTGAGAATATCCAGCCTCTTAAGAAACAATACTAATAATGACAATTTATGAAGATATGGTTTCTCTTAAATTATTAAATTATCATAATATTAACATGGAAAACCTATAGGTGATATCTTTTTGCACAAGGAAAGAAAAAGAAGGATAAAGGCACATTTGGATTATACCAGAATTGAAAGACTGAACAACAGAGAAAACTAGTTTCACATCCTTAAGAGTCTTCCATTTAAGAAAGAAAAATCTCTTCTGATCTAACATACACCACAGAATTGAAGACATTACCACTGAATCAAGTGAGACAAATTGTACCATTCTACCTTATTTGGCCTTAAATGAATTTATCTTTCATGATGGTGCAGGTAGAGAAAATTGACAGCTTTAGGAACTGGTTGGTTTCAGAAAGGACCCTGATAGTGGAAACCTGCCTCCACAGCATACCCTGTGCATCACTTCAAGGATATGAGATTACAGATTGAAAAGTAGCTTTACTCCCAGAGGTTCACTCAATCATTTTGATATATAACTGATGTTCCAAAGATTCCTAATAGCCATTTCTATGATCCCAAATGATTGTCTTTTGTGATCCTTAGGATGAATACCAGAATGCCAGCTCTGTGTGGGAAGAGATCTTTCTCTGTTTCATTCACTGTCATTAGGTGTCATTTCCCAGCACTTAAAACTGTGCCTGACAAACCACAATGAATGAATGTATGAATTATATATTGTGATCATAGCATCTGCAATATTTTAGCTTTATCTTCATTGTCTCTCTCTTCCTTGACTGAAAAGAACCCCACACAAACAGCAAATATGTTTTCTCTCTTTGTATCTCTGTACCTTAGCACAGTACCTGATATATGGCAGTCATTTATTAAAAATCTTGTTGAGTATATGTTGAATTGTAAACTCCAGGAGTTGGTGATGGACAGGGAGGTCTGGCGTGCTGCAATTCATGGGGTCGCAGAGAGTCGGACACGACTGAGCGACTGAACTGAACTGAAGATAATGTCTTATTTGAGATACAGTATTATATTGAATTATGTCTAAAAAAATCATTCAGAAAGATATTTAGTGCATGATGAACATCAACAAGTGCTATTTCTTTTACGTTCTTACTAAATATCAATAATAGTTGCATAAAAGGGAACAAAAATTAAAGTTATTTTAGGGTAAATATAGGTTAAATTAAACTAAATAGAATTTAAATTCTACTGATAACTACCCCCCAAACTAAGACTATAAAAAAAAAATCATTTAAGGCACAGTGAATGCCAGAGAACTAATTGAGGTTCTTAACAGTTTGGGTTTAATAATCCTTTTGACAAAACAAAATGAACTGGGAGCTAGAGATTTCTGTCAGGATAGATACAATTAGCCTGAAGTTTCACATAATATATGGCATCTGAAGACCAGGGCTTGGTATAAAGAACATATAAGAGCCTGGTTTATTTAATTACCATCAATGTGGACATGAACAGATTATTTAATATTGATGTTCTCCAGCTTCCTTGGGGAAATGGTCATTTTACTTTCTACATATTTAAGTCACTATATAAACACAAGTTACTCTTGGTATTATCAGAGCACATAAACTAAATACAAATTAGTACCAACTCGTTTGCTCCAGGCATGCATAAAATGCTTAAACAGCTTTGCTAATGATTTTATTCTCATAGACATATTTCTTATCATTTCCCCCAACTCATGCATCTCCTCCCTGCTACTGTATCACACTTCTCCCCTTATACACTTTCATAAAGATTCCCAATTTTATTTTGCAGTGCCTCTGAATCTGGAGCTAATTTTTCTTTCCATGGGCTGGCATCCCAAACCTCTGAAGAACAAGGAAAGGGGTAATATAAAGGGTAAAAGACTTAGGGAGAGATCAAGATGGCAGAATAGTAGGACATGAGGCTCACCTTCTCCCACAAATATGTCAAAAATACATCTATATGTAGAACAATCCTCACAGAATATCTACTGAACACTGGAAGAAGACCTCAGACTATTGAAGGACCAAGAAAATCTCCATGTAACCAGGTATGAAAAAAGATTGAAAAAAAAAAAAAAGGAGTTGGGTCACAAGCTGTGCCCCTGGGAAAGAGCTGTGAAAGAGGAAAGGTTCCTGCACCTAGAGAAGCCCCTTCACCATCAGGAAGGTTGGCTGGGACAGAAGGGGAGCTTCTGAGCCTGTCAGTGGCAGCCAGAGCAGACAGAACACTGCCCAGATGGTGCCCTGCCCCGCACTCCCCAGCCTGACACGTGCTGCAGGCGGATGGATGCTGGAACTTGGGCTTCAGGGATCAGACCTGGGGAAAGGACTGAGGTTGACTGTGTTGAGACAGACTGAGGGAGTGGGAATCCTGTGAAACTGTGGCTGGTGGCTATATGAAGAGGAAACCTGGACCACCTTATAGACCAGTCACCATCATTTGGAGGTCATGGGGAGAATGAGGTAAGATTGTAGCCTTTCTCCTCCGTGCCTACAGAGGGCAGGACACTGCCTTCGTTGGCTCCAAAGGGGGATGCCAAGAGTGGTCACAGGCCACCAGTGTCTCCTTCCTAGACTCCAGGAGTGGTCACAAGCTATACACACTCCCACTGCATGCCCGGGGGGGTGCCTGAACTGCCAGCATTGAGAAGCCCAGGACTGGGCGCTAGTCACTGATCTGCTTAACTCCTATCAAGGGGGTAACAACCAGCTCACACTGAGGAAAGAGAAGACAGGCTACTGTACGAAAAACAGCCCTTGCGTCAAGTATACTAAACCCAAACAAGCTACACAGGAACAGCCCCACACATAAATAGCCCTCCAAAACCACAGTAGATCATCATTTCTCCTAAACTCA